TACGTCTTCATATTTACGAATGTTAGGATTGAAAGAATAGATGCAGACTTCTTGGAGGTTTTGCAGAGGGTAATAGATAGAATAAATGAGCTATTTCGCAGTCAAATAACTCAGTGGCTTCCAATCGTATTTCACGTCAAACGATGCCTAGTCTATACCTATTAAAGCAATGCTCAGTTTGATGTGTAATTGATAATTATGTAATTGAATGTAACCAGTGAGACGACCAAGAGCAGTCCAGAAAGTTGAAGGTTGGGACTGTATTTTGCAGTTCGAGGAAAGTCAAAATCAATGATAAAGAATTTAAGGAAGGAAAGAAACAGCCAGATAAGTAAAGGGTTAACTGTTAATATCAAAATCCATGTGGCAAAAATAAGCCCCAGAAGTCAAACTCCCGGTCAATAATTTGAAAAAAATCGGAAAATGCCAAATCCTTATATCAATTTAATTTAATTAATTTATCAGTTACATATAAAAGATAGCATTGTTTTGATTGATTCGGTATAATTTAATGTGAGATATGATTAGAAACTAATGAGCTGTTTGATTTTAAAATCGCCTATCCATTTGTCCATCATTGTATGTACCATTTCAGTTTGGTTGAAGTTAGGATTTATCAATAGTCCGTTCAGATTTGGACAGTTGGGTACCGTTGTCGACGCTACTCCTTGATTATCATCACAAAGTCGTCAGTCCTAAGACTGGCTGGACAAGCACCTTCACTCCTTCCTATCCTGAGCTAATTTTCGCATTTCCCTGAAACTAGATCATCCCACATCCTTAACTATTATCGAACAGTAATCTAATCTAGGTCTACCTCTACTTCTTTTAACTCCTGTTTCTGTCTCTAATATGTACACATTGCTGTCATTTTAAGCATGGCGACCCCGTATATCAGTTTTTGTTACGTAAAACTTATTTCTGGTCCATACCACGTTATATATGCCAATCAGGTAAATTTTTTCCACAACAACCTAATCTAAATCTTTGGTACACATCACTTTACATATGCCAACTAGGAAATTCTTTCTAATCATATAGTTTATTGTATAATTTAATATAAACTGATGGTGTATAGCACTTTACACAAGTCAATCAAGGTAACTTTAACCATAACCTAACCTAACCTAACCTACTGCTTACTACTCGGGCGACCCGGGTTCTAATTCCCGCAGATGCAATGCTTTTTTCCTTTTTCTAATGTTACGTTGAGTATATCGATGATATATTACGAATATCGGCCACACGTGATGCTATGAATAAAAATATAATTTGTAGTGGATACTTTAAAACGTCACATAAACGCTTGTTAATACAATACCTTCAGCACACTGTAGTGTACGTTCAAATGGGTGGTATTTTAAACTGTTTTTATTGGTCGTGTGCCAATTTTATAGTACTTACCTAAATAGTTTTTATGATACTTTTGGTTTATCAGACAATATCTTTTAATTGAGATAAACGAAATAGATAATGCTTTAGGGCGTAAAACAGAAGTTTATGACGCGGGTGTTGTTGACAGAACCACTCGTAATATATAAAACGTAATCCGGCGTTTATATGCCACTGTTTATTATAGAAGTTTCAAAATAAAACGACATTTCAGATTAATCTAAAGCCGAATACGTACGTAAAGCGTATTACTAATTTAAGCGCCGCCAGCTAATGCTCTAGAAATGTGAGCGAGCAGTAAAAGCTAATTCAAAGCTGTAAAATATCGAGTGTGACATTTGCTTTAAGTCGACTTTGAAACAAATAAGATTTTGTGTATTATATTGTTTATCTCTTGTTGTTAGTTAGTAGTGGAAAAATGGTAAAAAAAAAATGTATTTTTCGGCTAAATAATGTAGAAAAACAGCAAAGCTTGCGTGAAATGTCGTAAAGTCGATCGATTCACTATATTCTAACAAAATATTTGCGAATTAAAACGCTATGAAAAACGGTTTTGTCTTGTAATTATAACGGTTGTTGCATAAAAGAATGGATTGTATTACATCTATTCTTTTATCTCGAACATCTTCGTTTAATCGAAATCTTTAATTAAACGTTAGTAATTTTTACGGATTCCAGTTTCTCTTCAAACATTTGGTAAAGCAACATTGAAAGCGACTGTATTTTTGTAGACTTAAAATTTAAATAATAATTCTCATCTAACTTAAAAAGAATTATTCACAGTGTGGCTTTACGATTTGTCTAATAGAGAAAATGATAGACGAAAGAATTAGCACGTACAAGTGATTTGTAAATCTAAAAAACTTTTTAATAACGTTATATGGGAAAAGTTGTTAAGAATGTATGACTGAAACACAAAGATATGTAGAAAAGTGATATGCTATAGTTCGGATAAAAAGCAATAGACAGTTTAGAATTCGAGTAGCAAAACAGGGAAGTAAATTAAAATAAAAAATTAATTTTTTGTGAATTTGAATTTATTATTATCAGTAAAAGTTCATTTTTAAATCTAGAAAAAAATAATTGAGCAATCAAGGACATTAACTTCTTATATGCATCTTCAAATTACTTGAATAATATAGATGTATAGGTTATTCTAAAACTTTCGGGGTTAATTTTCTGAAACACATGATTTTGTTTTGTATATAAACTCATCTTCAGTTACTTTAAGCAATTTTTTTTCTCATGTGAACTAAATAGTTAACTTTGTCTTGGTGTGAACATCCTGAGTCTGAGCTCAACTTTTAAATGACGATAAAACTTTGTCGAATATTGTGACCTTGTCACCGCTGAAGTAATACGATAACTAAAGATGCTTAAATCTAGAAAATTAAATTTCTTGGATAGCATGAATGAATAACAATGTTAAGTGTACGATGGAAAACAAATCAAGTATGCAGTTTGAAAGTTTCCAAGTGCCAAGTCTCGCCTTGCTTTCACAATCGAATTTCAATAGATACGGTCTTTTGGCCTGGATGGGACAGTTTTAATATTCTCATTAATTCTCACCAACTTTACCTTCAAGAGACCTTGATGGTAATTTATTATATTGGCGCGAGAACAAAGGGATGGTAGAGGGAGACAGAGAAATAAGACCGTGGACCATTATTTACCTACGACGATCGAGTAGCTCATTACGTTTACATAAATATGAGGGAACGGAATTATATTACGTGACCTGTCAGGGAGGGAGGGGTCCTCAAAAATACCACGCATGGTCACAGGGGGTAGGGGGGGCTTAGGGTTTCGTTATGTAGATAATATATTTAAAACTTTCTGTATACAAAAAATGATTTAAAACCATATTTATTAATTACTACGTGAAAACCACAGGGGTATGGTTTTGGCATATATACTGCGGGTGGTCACTGAGGAGGAAGGGGGGGTAAAAAATTGTAAAAAATGGGCCACGTAGTAGGAGTACATTTCCTAAGGTGTTTTAGAACTCCGTGGGCAAAGAGCAGCCACTGGTTCCTGAGATTCCAAACTCATCATACATCACAAATTAGAACTTTTATACATATAATCTGTGTACCAAATGTTACTGAAATCGTATGAAACGATTTGAGTAATTAAAGAAAAATGAATATATTTGCAATATGTCTGATCTTGCTCTAGATCCATAGAGTTTTGATCCACTCTGTAGATTGGCCTAAAGTATGCCTCTCGATCTGTGACACCTGACCTTAAATAATTTTGCTTTTAACGTTAGAATGAAGACAGAGCAAAATGAGAACATAATTTACTCACTAGTTTCATGGTTTTCCTATCGTGTAGTAACTTAAAATTAATGAATAGCTAGATTACCAAGCCTAACTCTATTAGTGTGACAAATTATTATTTATGAAGAAGCTAGAACTTAAACTCTAGAATATTTTCGCAGTAGCAATTGCGAATGTCAATATGTAGTATGCTTTTTGACGTGACAACGTCTTATAATTCGATGGAGCCGGCTGCACGCACCAGAAAACATGACTCATGCGGCGTTACCTCGCTCTGAGGCGTTCCATTTAAGGCTTGAAGTGCAAGCGAGAGCGCGGAACGAGCGACAAAGAGGCACAATCGGCCTCCGCGTTCGGCAGCGTTCGACATCTGTCTCTCTCCTACTTGAGTGAGCGATGCGTCCGCGTGGACAGCTGCTATACAATAATACATTTCCATTTGCCTCCTTCTCTATATCCATACAAAATATCTATCAAACAAATAAAATTAAAATTTTCTTTTGAAAAATGAAACCATTCCATCAGTATTTTCTTATGACGTTGTCACGTTCAAGTATCGCCAGTAAACCGACTTTACAGACAACCGATTTTTTTCAGTAGGTTTCTCATTGTAGGTACGTATTTAGAATTACCAGTATTGCTATTATATATCTATGTGTTACGGTTAATATGTCTACGTGATGGATAGTTTGTAAATTAGCTAGTCATTTCATAGTATACAAATTATCCAAATGTCTGGTTTGATAGACATACCATATTAAAATTATTAAGTTATGGTAGGAGAAGACAAACACTCATGAATTGAGTGTTGCAGTTGCTTTGTATTTTCTTTCATGACTTCGTGAGTGTAGTCTTTTCCTGCCATAACCTTATGACCCTAACTATAGACATCTGGTCAGCTTACAAACTAATTGATCAAAAAACTGAATGGATAATCCAGTGGAATGAAAAATGTTCGATGAAAGTAATTATCGGTCAGCAAAATCCAGACCTTAATTATAATCATATAAGGACATGTTTTTAATAAACAGGCAGAAACCAATTTGCCGTTGACAGTGGATTAGCAAAATAAAAAAGCTGATATTAAAATAATCCTTGGTTAACAAAATTGACTATACATACACGTCCTTGATGTCCTACATGGTCACTTCTACCCATACACCATTTAATTTTTTCTCACATAAGTGGTTGAACATAACCTAACCTAACCTAACCTAACCTATAGGTTAGGTTCGGTTAGGTTAGGTTATAACCTAGGTTCGGTTAGGTTAGGTTATAACCTAATCTAACTTGCTCATTTCATTCAAACTAAATGGTTTGTTTCAGGAAGTGCAATAGAAAGGATTTGCGGAGAGGCGGAAGTTGAGATTCTATCCGACAGGACAGTATTAGTACGTGCCGCTAGATGTCTACTCGGAGCGGTGACTCGAGTTCTTCTTTTAGCAGACATAGTCGTAGTCAAGCAATTGCTATTAGCAAAAGACAAGGTGAGAGAACATATCTGAAATCTAGATGTAAATGGAAAAAGGGTGCAAGGGAGAAGATGCTTAAATCACTGCAGTTTTAGGGTTAGATATATTATAGGGACAAAAGATTAGCATGACTTGATTTGAGGAAGATATAGCAGTATTAGCATCTAGCAAGGAGGAGTTACAGTTAGCCTTAGGGTGGTATTGATAGAAAAGTATGCAATGAAAATGAATTAAAATAAAACAAAAATATTGGCATATAAGGGATGTAAAAAGGGCGGTGTTATAGGAAGATGTCAAAAATACTGTAAATAGAATTTATTAGAAAGAGTAGGAGAACAGAGGGAGTTAGGATAGGAAGGACTAGCTAGACCCTAGAGACAAATTAGAAGCAGAAACAGTACGAGTTAGAAGGAGTAGAGGGATACTTACATTATATTACTGTTCACAAATAGTTAACGATGTAGGCTACTAGAGTTTTCGAGTAATGCAAAGAATAGATCAGGGGCGTAGATAGGCAGGGGCAAGGGGAGGAGACATTGCCACCTAGCAAGCTCATTACCTCTTCCAGAAAAGGCTCTGACGAGTCATGATATCGACACAAAGTCTGAAAACAGAAACCAAACACATTTAAAATTTAATACATTCACAGCTATTGAAAATTTGCTCCTTCCCTAGGAAAAATTTTTAGCTACGCTTATGGATGTGTCTAAACACTTTACCTTATGATGATGATAGGTGGGGGGGGGGTTCTTAAAGAGAAACCACACTAAGACAAGTCCCTAAAAGAGGGCAGTAGCTTTTTCAGTACTCAGGGTGGTAGAGATAACGAGGTTCGGTGGTGGCACTGTGATGCATAATACTGCGATGTGGAAGGCAACGGGAAACCATCACATTACGATATCCCAAGACGAACACACCAAACTCGAATGATGACGTCCTCTGGGGTAAAGCACCCCGGACGTAAACTAGTCCCCTATTCGGAAGCGTTCGACATGTGGTGTTACCGGCGAATGATGAGTATACTGAAATAGAAATGAAGAGGTATTAGAAAGAATAGGAGAACAGAGGGCTTTATGGAAGTCAATAAAAAATAGGCGAGATAGGAAATCTGTAGTTCTTAGGCTTTCACGGCCAGCGTCTATCGATGCTGTGTTTTCTTCCGGTTTTTTTGGTCGTGGTCCGTGGAATCTTGCTTTTCCAAACGTTTCGCCGTTCTTTGGTGACGGCATTTTCAGTGGTAACTGGGCAGGTGCTGAGTCGTCATCAGTTACGACGGGCCACGGCCAAAAAGCCCGGAAGAAAACACAGCATCGAGATAGGAATAGTAATCCTTCTCAGGGATGAAGCTCTAGTCAGAGACATATTAATGGCAGAAACAGGAGTTTAGAGGAGCAGAGGTGGAACTAGATTAGATTACTGGTTACAAATAGTTAAGGATGTGGGATGTTCTAGTTTTAGGGAAATGCGAAGATTAGCTCAGGATAAGTAGTGAAGATGTGTGTCCAACCGGTTTTAGGACTGACGACCTTATGATGATGAATGATAGGTTAAAGAGAACAACTTTGCGTTTATAATGTGACCCATTATTAGATATGTGTGATCATTGTATCTCCATTAAACATTGAATTGGAACGCCCTGTATGTTTTAATTTGTGTATATGTACTATGTGGTTGTTGTACTCTTGATTGTACTGTTTTATGTAACACCCGTGTACACTTTTGGGAACAACATAATAATTTGTCCAGGTCCAGCGGAGTCTGGGACGACTGGAGTCAGTGAACAACTTTACGGAGTTCGTGAAAGCTTTCAGTCAGTTCGGTGCTGAAATGGTGGAATTGGCGCACTTGACCGGCGACAGGCAGAACGACCTGAAGGATGAAAGGCGGCGAGCTCAAATGGCAGCCGCTAGACAGGTCCTCGAACGTTCCACGATGATGCTTTTGACTTCGAGCAAGGTGAGTCTTATATTTTTTGTTTGTAAGGGAATGTTATACGTACAGGGAGGTCCAGTGTAATGCCATTCACAAACACACACAGGATTTTATATACACCAATAATAAATCGATTTAATAGCGCCCTAATCTGGAGTATTGATGCTACATGACGAAAAATCAATCTTTGATAAAGCTTTTTAAAATGTAGATCGCATTCTACCGATATTTACCGTAACTGTAATGTTAATTAATATAACGTTACGTTTTTCTTTATTTTATGTTCTTAATGCCACTTTAAATAATACTGTATACTATCAGCGATGAACAAAGTTAGTTAATCTTTATCGCAATAATAATGCATAATAATGTGTAGTAGATGTTGGTATCTACTTTACACAACACAACCGTCACCGTTTACATTATCCGTCGATGCAGCTGCTTAGTTGTTATCGCAACTTCTCTGAACATTGCCTATTCACGCACAGGGACGGCTTCGGATTGCAGCTTTCTCTGGCTTTCGCACAAATCTTTTGTTTTACTCGCCATGCGATTCCCTATTTCCTATTGAATCTGGTTAATATCCTCACAAGCTTGCTACTTATTTTAGAAACACCCTTTATAGGTACTTGGCAAATCGAATCTACTTTGCAATTTATATACGTGATCGATTCACAAACTAAATTAATAAAATTAAAATTTATTCAATCCTCACGATTAATTATTAATTATTGCGTGAAATACAACCAATACTTCGTAGTCATACTTCTCTAATCAAAATCTTCTAATTGCAACCACTTATGGTCGATTTTTTTAAATAAATTTGATTGAAGAAAAGTTTCTGCTTTACACTTTTTATTTTTTATAACCTCAGATCATGATGTTAGACAAAATATGTAAGTACATTGCTCGTTTTGATCTTAATTGCTTCTTTTTGTGACTTCCATGATTAATATTGAGTGCCACAGTGGTGATTTGTCGAGACTGCCTATAGCGTGCTGATGAAGTACAATACGATCGAAATGCGTCGGCGATTTAGTTAGGCAAGTAGATGCTTTCGTAAAGCTCTTGTCATACATACCAAATACTATAGATGGCGATATATTGTCAATAACTGACTATGTCTCTAGTTTTCCATTTTATATTATATGTATTGCCTTCGTTTAAAATTCTGCTGTGATTGATGAAAGCTGACGTCATGATCGGTATTAGCAGCATCAAAATTACTTTGAAGTAGTTATACAATTTAAGGGAGCAACAAAAAGTTATAATTTGTAGATCCGTGGCCATTTTAAAAACGTTTTATTTCAATTGTTTAGGCTACATGGAAACGCTATTTAAATAGTCATTTGTATCTCCATATGTACTATTTCATTGTCCACGTTTAAATCTGTAAATTTGTCGCATCAATGGGTTTGATTTAGCTGGCGAGTGGCTTGATTGTAACCGTTTTGGATGCGGTATTTCCGTTTCAGTGGCTAACAAAATGCGGATATAGATGCTCTAATTTGAAAGTGCTACAGGCTTACAATCGCCAGTCGTGTAAATCCTATTTCGGAATTTTGTTGATTATCTTCGCTAGGCTGAATACATAAAATCGCTTTTGACTGTTCAAATACAGCACATCAGTTTAACTTATTATACGTCATTACCTTTGTAGAGACTAAAGACTAGGGGTCCTTTAAAAAAAATCGGTCATTTTTTCTTTTGAAGCACAGAACCCTAGATAAATAGCAGGTAACTTAATTCACGAAACATGATATTTCATAATTCTCTCAGAGTCTCTGAAAGCGAAACTCTAGTCTCCGTCTCTCATCGAGTCTCTCTGATGTCGCTGCGTCTCTGAATGAGAGACTCGAGTCGCTCATAGAGAGATCCTCATTTCGCATCCCGCCTGTGAACGAGAGACTCGAATCTCTGAACGAGAGACTCGATTCTCTGAACGAGAGACTCGATTCTCTGAACGAGAGACTCGATTCTCTGAACGAGAGACTCGATTCTCTGAACGAGAGACTCGATTCTCTGAACGAGAGACTCGATTCTCTGAACGAGAGACTCGATTCTCTGAACGAGAGACTCGATTCTCTGAACGAGAGACTCGATTCTCTGAACGAGAGACTCGATTCTCTGAACGAGAGACTCGAATCTCTCAACAAGTGGTGTTTCGATAGACATGGTTAAAAGTTTCTAAGTTCAACATATTTCAGAGATCCCAGTCTTTCTACGAGAGACTCGAGTCTCTCAATTTTTCAGTTTTATTCATTCAGTCTCTCTGTGAGAGACTCGAATCTCTGAACTAACAATCTTATCGTTCGAGTCTGTTATACAGAGACTGTGAGGTTTCATAAAAACACCTAGGCAATAACTAAGAGACTGTGAAAGACTGTGACAGACGCTGAAAGACTCTGAGAGACTGGAGAGAGACTGAAAATTTTTGTCTAGGGAAGTCTTTTAATTGGAAACAATTTCTCTTGCAGACGTGCCTGCGACATCCTGAAAGCACGACAGCCAGAGAAAACAGGGACACCGTGTTCTGTCAGATGCGGAGGGCCATGGATCTGATACATTACGTGGTCAAAGACGGTGTTCTCAACTGCGTCGAGCCCTATTCTCAAACTGATAATTGTGAAGACTTCGAAGCCGAACGTTCGTCTTTGTGTTCGTATATGAAGCGATTGCAGAGCCTGCTTGAGCTTTGTAGAGTTACCTTAGGTAAGTTTAATAACATTTTTGATTTTTAATTTAACGTTCTATTCCATTTGGAGTTTTTTAAGGTCTAGTTTATAAGTGGGTATCCGCGGCAAAACCATTACGTTTAATGGTTTACGTATTCGTTCTGGCGAGTTTTTTTATTAAATATCACCCTTACCAAAGTCCCAAACTAATCATTAAGTTCCGTTAAAAAAGTCGTTAAAAGAATCAAACAATGGCATAATTCATGATTGTCGGATTTTCAATCAGACAGTTGTGTTGAAATCGTTGAAATAAGCTTATAATATATTTATAAACACCAAGTCTGCAAGGTGACAAAATCGTACTAATAAGTCATTGTTCATAGTTAGTGATGAGTGAATATGCAAGATAAAGATCAATTACGCAAGATTAAATGAAAAATTTATGATTTATGAGTTAAACTATTCAAAGCAACTTTAATTTTGTAATGTTCGTGGGTTTAACAAAATTAACTCCTAGGACTGATAACGACAAAAACTATTTATTTACACTAATTATTAAAGAACTTAAAAACACTATTAAATTATTACTAAACTAAGGTTATGAATTATTCTATTTATTTACACTACTGTTGATATATCACTATNTTATTGAAGAACTTAAAAACACTATTAAATTATTACTAAACTTAGGTTATGAATTATTCTATTTATTTACACTACTGTTGATATATCACTATTCACTGAGCTATTTATTTCACTGCTATCTCTGTCAATTTATTTCTTGATTCACTTCTGCAACGGTCAATTTATTTCTTGATTCACTTCTGCAACGGTCAATTTATTTCTCCTCTCTCGGCGATCGTCTCTTCCTTTAAATACTCTTTTGTTTACTTTCTAGAATCTTCTGGAAACATCCGGATAGTTTATTTTTTCTTTGAACTGTATAACTGCTTTCCCAGAACGCAGGTACGACACACACATTTACAAACACGGCGCACATGAAGAAAGGCGCCCGCGGCTAGTCGGCGAATCGATAAGCCGTTCACGCACACGTGTGCCCGATCGCACACAAACACACTCGTGCTCGCTACAATATATTCTTTTCTTGGAACAAAACATTTTTAGTATGTGAAATTTTCAGTTTGCTTTACTAGATTTTAACACTCAATATAAGAAAGAAAGAAAAAAAAGAAATTTCACCATTGTTCAAAAAAAGCGATATATAAGAATGTCCTCGGAGTAAGTGTCCTTTGTTTCTTTGTCTGGATAACACATGGTTGAAATATAGAGACAAAGTAATTTTTTTTCGATATTTTTTACTTCTTTCAAGTATCTTGTATTATTTTGTTCTCTAAAAGGTCAATTTATTCGTTGAAAAAGGGTCAATTTATGCATTGAAGGAACGGTAACTTTAGAGTTTTCATAACTCACAGCAAGATTAGAAGTATTTGAACAAGATCAAGTTTCAGATCGAATTAGCAAAACCAAGACTGTAACATCACTAGTACCAACCTATCTCGTCTATTTATTATTAACTTCCATAAAGCCCTCAGTTTTCCTACTCCTTTTATGAAAATATCAACTTTAATTTGACAAGGCATTTGAACATTTGACGAAGAGAAAACCTTACTTCTGCCACAAGACTTAACAAGCGAATGTAGCTTTCGTAAATTACTCTTGGGGCATTCACAACTTTCACACAACCTATTGGCATAAATTACAATTGTATTATCTACGACATAACTTTTGTCTGACATTAGATTTAGGTACATCAGTAATTGTCTGAGAGCTTAACGCTTTACACTAATGGATTTTTAAGTAAAAGAATCCTAAATGATGCATTTCAACCAAAAAAAATAATTAACATAACTATAAATATAATTCTAATAGTCATCTTTAATAAAAAATACTCGGCTTCTATATAAAAGTCCCATGACTGGTTGGATACGCACCTCCACTCCTACCTATCCTGAGCTAATCTTTGCATTTCTCTAAAACTAAAACATCCTATAACTTCGTTTAGTTTCTGTAGCGATGTGACCTTCAGTTTGACCGGCGTAAAGTAGAAAAGAACAGCACTAGGCTAGAAAAGGAAGGAGACAACTCTCGGCCAAACTCTTAACCGGTGAGGAGCGTATAATCTGTAGAGTACTGCACGGAAAAATTGACCATTTTATCCACTAAAATTGCATTGCTCAAATGTGCTGTTATTTGTACCAATTACTACTGAAAATATCAACGAGGTGTTTATTTATATTTGAAGACATATTAAAGGCTTTAACGCTTGTTTTCGACTCGCATTACTATTCATGATTAAACAAAACTTTTGGCAGGTACTGTAATGAAAAAGTATGTTTAATGAACAAGAGTCGAGAGTATAATGAGCTTTTTTCTCCCTACCTACGATTTTGCAAGCGCGCATCCAATACATTGAAAGGGGCACATCGCTAGAGAAAGTAAATGAAGTATACATCCTTAACTATTCTAATCTAGGTAAGTAAATGAAGTATACATCCTTAACTATTCTAATCTAGGTCTAACTTTTTTCCTCTTAACTCTTGCTTCTGCCTCTAATATGTCACTGACTTCGTGCCTGAGAAGGTGTCCTACTAACCTATCTCGTCTATTTCTTATTGACTTCCATAGAGTCCTCTGTTTTCCTATTCTTTTTGATACCTCTTCATTTCTAACCTTCTCTATTCACGGTATCCTCATTATTTGCATGTAACACCACATTTCTAACGCTTTTAACCTTTTCTTTTCCGCCGTGCCCAGCGTCCATCTTTCACACCACATTTTGAATGCCTTCATACCCGTGCTCCAAATATACCTTTAACAATGTTTTGACGCGACAACGTCTTATAATTCGATAGAGCCGACTGCAGGCACGAAAAAACATGACTCATGCGGCGTTACCTCACTCTGAGGCGTTCCATTTAAGGCTTGAAGTGCAAGCGAGAGCGCGGAACGAGCGACAAAGAGGCACAATCGGCCTTCGCGTTCGGCAGCGTTCGACATCTGTCTCTCTCCTACTTGAGTGAGCGATGCGTCCGCGTGGACAGCTGCTATACAATAATACACATTTGCCTCCTTCTCTATATCCATACAAAATATCTATCAAACAAATAAAATTAAAATTTTCTTTTGAAAAATGAAACCATTCCATCAGTATTTTCTTATGACGTTGTCACGTTCAACTATCGTCAGTAAACCGACTTTACAGACAACCGATTTTTTTTCGAAATTCTAAATTAACCGTTAGCTAGCATTAAAATGACGCTACCCTGCGCTATCCTCTGATTTATATCTCTACTACTCTTTCCATCGTGTGTTATCTGATGCTATTAACGAAGTACTTATCAGTTTTGCATTGAAATAGAAACGTGGAATCACGTAGTATCTATTGTGGTTAAATTCGGTGACAATTTTCATTATAATCCATCAATTTGACTTGCAAATGCTCGTAGTACGTATTATTACACCCTAGATGTAGCCGTTTTCAATTAATTTCTTCATCATTTTTAGGTTATCGTTTCCATTTCATCTATACATATATACGTGTGTGCACGTATGATGTTGTGTTGTAACATAAATCAAAATGTTCCCTTGGCAAAAACGATATTCCTGACATTCCCAATTTCCTAGGAGGAAATTAATAATCGATAATCGCATTATAACAGAATTATAACCCGCGCTATAAACGATACCCCGAACATCATTCAACGTTCTACCAGACACTGAACAAACAGACACAATAATATCCAATAATTTGAGTGATCGCATCAAGAAATTAAATTGAAAACGTTTACTGTTATCAAATAGACAATAAATTGATTCGATTTTCAGCGAAAACGAACGCAAATGTTATAATAGTATGGAAAATGTCGACGTTTGATTGTTACAATCGGAAATGATAGGGTAGCTTTATAATCAAGAGTGATCACGCAAGAAGGGTTGTGATAATACGTAGATATCTTTTAATATTTCCGTTCTTATCTAATATTTTAAAAGTTTATAAATTTGAAATGTAGTTTCATCTAGTCTAGACGAAAGTAGTGAAACTGAATTCGGGTTTTGATGATTATATTCTAGGAAAAATTAGTTTGGGTTAGGTTAGAGGGTCAAAAACAAGTGTCAGCAGGGCCGTAGCGATGAGCTCGGGGCCCCGGTGCGGTATTCCGCAAGGGGCCCTTCTTAAAATTGATGATCAGAAAAATGTCATTAAAAAAAATGTTTTAATTTCACGAATAGATGATTCCCCGTGCAGCACTGACAGATAACCTCTCACGGTGATGCCAACGTCGCGGTGTCGGCATGGGCGGCAGTTGGCAGCATTGAAAATGAGCGAGCCCGAAAAATAAATTTCGATAAAACTATTGATGATTTTGCTGCTATCAAATCGAGAAAAAAAACGTTTTAGAAATAAGAGCAGGCACTTGATGTTTGTGCAATGAATTCTATAGTGATGTTTCGGGTGATATAGATTTATGGTCAGCAATTAGTAATTTTTTATGGTAGCAATGATAATTATATCAACGGATTTAAGGAAACCATGAATGTAGAAGTATTCGCGATTTCGAGATGTATGCATTCCATGTAACTACGTACCTGATCAAATATATGGAGTATTGTGACAAAAATTGATATAGAAAAAAGTAAAATAAAAAATTATGATGTTCATTTCGTAGTTTGACTCAGCTCATCTCTAACAGCATAGTTTTTTTTAGAAGTCATTTTTTGAAAACAGAAAACTGCTAAGGGGCCCCTCGACTGCGGGGGCCCCGGTGCGCCGCACCGCTTGAACCGGCCTCGCTACGGCCCTG